GGACTCGATGAAGTCTTAGACGGAGGACTCGGACTGTTGTGAGGGAGAATGTCGTAATAGGGCGATATTTGAGGGGAATGTTGCGAAACGGCCGGATATTGGGGTATTTTTTGATTCTGGTTGCTATCATAGACATCGTAGTTTGTTCTGTTAGTTGACGTATCGTGAAAACGGTTGTAGCAAACGATGGACCTGAAGTCGGTCGGAAAGTCACTACTGCTATCTGTAAAGAGAACAGAAATAATTTATCTATGTTATTATCTTGCCGTACGGTACGGTATCAGCAAAAAAAGTTTTAATGAACTCCAGAAAACGGTTAATTTAGAAATTCGAAGAAGGTTCTTAAAGGTGTATGTTTGGAGCACGGCGCTGTACGGGTGCGAAACATGGACAGTGGGCGCGACGGAAAAGAAAAGGTTAGAATCGCTCGAAATGTGGTGTTACAGGCGAATGATGAGGATAACGTGGATAAAGGTTAGAATTGAAGAGGTATTAGGAAGAATAGAAGAACAGAGGACTCTATGGAAGTCAATACGAAATAGACGAGATAGGTTAGTAGGACACCTTCTCAGGCATGAAGGTCTGGTCAGAGACATATTAGAGGCAGAAACGGATGTTAGGAGGGGTAGAGGTAGACCTAGATCATGTTTAAGAATTAACTAATTCCACAACTTTTTAAAAGTTAGATACTGTAGGTACAATTCGCTGAATATGCTGAGTTTAAAAAAAAAATTTTATTGGAAAAAAAGTAACTTGGGATAACTTACCTAACTCCTGTTTTAAGGTGATACCAGAGTTCTTCAGCGGTGTTCCATTAGTGTTTACATCCTTCATCCCTTTCTGTTTACGCTTACGTGTCTAGAATAAAACCATAACGTCAATAAGAATCACCCTACATTTTTAACAATACAATCTGCTTTCCAAAACGTTACATAACGCAATATTTACCTGAATATTTTCCTTTTTCATCGACTTGGGTCTCTCAATCCCGTGCAACTTATAGTACAGACCACAGGCGTTACAAACTGTCTCCCCGTGGCCATTCCGCCTCCATAACGAGGTTGTCTTTGTGGTACAATTCGCACACATCATCCCAACACGTCTAGAAGCAGACTGAACCACAATTTACATTAAAATTCAATTGAGAATCACTTCTTCTAACGCCACAAAAATTAGCCCAGTTGTGTTTATTTTCAGTTGAGTTTAGAAATGAAATTTAGTGATTTTTTTTGTAGCAATGGAGGGGTAGGGCTAGAAGTTTGGTTAGTGAGTCGACCCTTATATTCCCGTAAAATAAAAAAATCCGGAAAACAATATCGTAATGAACAGGAGCAAATTAATGTGTATTATAATCAGTGACGTAAAATGGGGGGGGTGGAGATTACCCCCCAGACGACAGATGCATAAAAGTGCGAAACGCTCAGAGTCAACCCTAAGCGCCACTAATTCTAATTACGTCACTGATTATAATGAAAAGCTCAAACTCCGTGATACATCAACAATTCAGAGTAAATTCCACTATCCTATACCTATATAAATTCATTAATGAAATTACGGTAAGAAAAGACAACAAGAACGAAGGGAATGTTATCGTGGTCGTGTGCATTAGAGTTATTAGAGCATTGCGGACGGAATTTACCCCTATTGTTTGACGAAACTATCAAACAATTATTGTTTTCCTTCCTTTTTCTTATTTGTAGTTTCACAATAATTGCACCCCAGAGAGTTTATTAGTGTTAGTATTCGAAATTATCGTAAATTGAACAGTTCTGTTTACTGACCGACTACTAAAGAGATTTTGAAAGTTGGATTCTAAAAACAGTAAATTCAAGCGGATTTAACAATTAAATTTTACAAAGACAGTGTATTCCACAAACATTACGGATTATCTCTGTTTACATTTGAAGCACGAATTTGGCAAACGTGCGCTAGTGGAATGCATTTGAAAACGACATTTTTTTGTTAGTAAAAAAAAAAGCTAAAGCATGCAACCAAGCAACTAAGAACGGAGCAGGATAACAACAAAAATAAAATAAGTAAAATAATCAGACAAGGAATATTAAATATTAGTTAAATAAAAAATAACAACAATAATAATAAACAATTCACTAATACTACAAACCTGCTCCGTCCCAGGTACAGTGGGGCCACTTCTTACGTAAGTTTGGAAACTTTTTAAAATAAATAATAACAACTACATGATAAAGGAGAAGAGAAGCGAATTTTAATGTTGCATTTTCAATTGTTATTTAGTACTACTAATAATAATAATAATAATAAAGATAAAACAGAGGAGGGATGCCAATTGTAAGAATTATAAAATAATAAACTTGGGGGGAAATAAAAAACACAAAATACTACGCTTGCAGAGTAAAAACCTACCAAGCGACGGCTGGATTTTTCCTCAGTGACGTTCAGAGGGCCGCGATTGGCCAATGGGCCGCGAGTGGCCCCATTATACCCGTAGTAGTTCCTGCAGTAATCGGCAACACTCCCGTGCCCCGGCTCCGCCGCCACTGGAACGCAATACAGAATGGTTAGAGCTTGTTAGTACACGAACGCGCACGATTTTCATCTTAATAAACATTACACGTTTTGCATTAACTTTATTTTATTAATAAACAGCCAAAACGTAGCAGCAATTAATATCGTAGCAGCGTCGCCTCGTCACGGGCGTGTCATGGGGGAGTTTTCCCCAAAATTGGCGCATTTATACCCCGACTGTTTTTCGCACCTAGTTCACTTAAAAACGGGGTAGTTTTCTTCAGAAATGCAGAAACAAATAATTTTAATAAACCGTCAGACTGTCAGAAATGTAAGTTGAAATAATTTACAGTAATTTTGATTGAGTCAGCATCATTTTAGTAACCGCCTAGTCACGCCAATTAATACTTTTTTACTGCAATTATAAAAAGAAAATTTAATCGATACGTAGGTATTGTAATTAATACAGGATATCTAACAAGCAAGTAATGGTATCGTCTTTTGATTACCCTTAATTATTATGTAGCGGACGTTATTCGCACATATAGTTGGAACGTACAAAATTGGTATAGCCTACAACAAAACTGTCCCATTTACATTCTTTTTTCAACTTTCTAATCAGACTAGAGCGGTTGTTGACAGAACGCCTACTTTTACTGACGACAGATGACGTAGGGAATATTCTAAACATTGGAAAGAGATGCCAGGTAGGAATTGCAGCGGACACTAATAAAGAAGAAGTTCAACTTTCTCAGTAATTTGGGAAAGAAAAGACATTTACTTAAAAATATTTCAATCCTTAACCTTAACCTACATGTCGAAGTAAACTACCCCGTATATCCACTATATTGATTGGATTCTAACTCGTACAAAATGCGCAAATTTGAGAGATTTGTGCAAAAAATGTCATTTTTTGTTAGTAGAAAAGACATTCATAAAATGATAATTTTTTTTAAAGTACCAATCTGCGAGGCTGCTTCACCAGGGGTCGATTCATTCCATTCATTTTATGGTAGAGACCACAGGCGTTGCAAAGGTAATGGCCAGTGTTGTCCCTTCTCCACAAGGGCGTATCAACAGCCCCACAATTTACACATTCTCTTCCTTCAGTAAAATACTCCGCTGCTCTAGCCTCAACTACTTAAAGTCATAAGTTAATTTAACATCAACAAACCAATAATTATTAATAAACTATAACCAAACGTATTATTTTAACTGAAAAAAAGGCTGTTAGGTTAGGATAATAAAGTTACAATAGGAAAAGACAACACGTACGAAATACTTATAAAAAACTGTGTTTTCTAAACAAAAATGAAAGTGTCAGGCATTTATGAAGCAAGTTCGGAAAGTTTGACTCAGTTTTGCATAGAATGACATTGCTAGGTTGCTGATAGATCATTATTGGTCAATTTATTTAAAAAAATCCATATCATCCCTTTATTATATGTTGGGAGGAATCAAGCCAAATGTCTTGACTGGTATAAAACTAACATTTATACCTAACTGACTAATCACTAATCCTCACCAAAATTATAAATCAATCCGCAAAATTGCTAGAAAAGAAAAACGACCAACATATTTTATTTCATTTTTGGTCTAACTACAGTCAAACTGAAATCTTTTTTGATATCGTCGACAGCATCGTCCCTAACCCATCTTCATATTCAAATTTATTACCACCATCTACATTTCGACCTTTCGGGTCAAATTCCAGGCCGATTTCACGCATTAAATCGGGGTGAAAATAAACGCTAAAATAGCAATAACCAATAACATATATTTACAGGAGTTAATCCTCAACCGTCAGGAAGAACTGTCTGAAGGACAATTTACGGCATGATTCCTAATCGTTTGCAAGATATCTGGCGCCACTAACGTATCTAGTTACATAGACAATAAATCACATCTAGGTATATTGTTGGAGTGTCGTCTCATACACAGGCGTGCATATAATGTGCATAGATATGTATGTGTAGGATAAAATGCATATGCCGATGAATAAAAAAAGGCGGCAATTGTAACACCTTCCCAGAATATTAACGAATTCGAATCAAAACTGTTTTGGTGGAGGCGCCGCGCAAATGCCTGCGTTCTTCAAATTACTTCAAATCGCTTTTAACAATATTTGTCTTATTTATTTACGATTGATATGAAAAACTGCTCAACGTAATCGTGAATGAATATAGGGGAAACAGAAAAATACCAAGTCCGCTTATAACACCCCTAGTATAGTGGAAAAATAATTCATTAAACACTAACAGTAAATTTCAAGAAAAAGAATGAAGTTACAATTTGTTAATAACAATCTGTACATAGGTTAAGTTCAGAAAAACTTGCAGGATTTTTTGCTCAATTTCAATTACTTTCATTTTTCTTACAGAAACTCGCAAATTGGTTAATTTAAATTGGATAACAATACACAAATGGTCAATGCATGTAATTGGTGTAATCTTTATGTACATATGGTTTATACAAGAATATCCTACATACGCATATCTATATTGCAAACTTTAACATTGCTTCTTGTTTCAGAGAATCCTGTAGGCGCAACATTTTAAACTGTTGCAAACTAAATGAAATGATTGATTATACTCATATCGGTTTGTAATATCGATCGACATGATGCATATGCATATTATTACAGATGATGATGATGATGAATCGATAGAATAAACATTTCTCGGTACAATTCTGGGTTCTATAAAAAACATACTTCTGAGTTGGCGGCAGAAACTCGTAGTAATAACAATAATACGGTGACAGGAAGCAGAAACAATTTCACAAGTTGCAAGTTTCAAATTACAGTCGCACATAACTGAATGTGTAGTTGTTTGTCGCATTTGTTTATTGAACGTGGCGTAATAATAAAGGGATCGAAGGTGGTCGAGATGGATCCCACGGGGTCGCCGTATAATAACCGCGACTAATAATAAAAAAATAAAAGTCCCTGACGTGTCCGCTAGACTACATAGAAACTTTTCTGGGAATCAGAGACCGTTGATGTTTGGCCGACTGTATTGGAATGGTAATAAAAAATGAAAATCTGTTTACTTTGCAAAAACCATTCATTCTAGATACATGTCTCAGCTTGTTAATACTACATTCACAAGCTCACAAGTAGCCCTGTCTCACATCAGGAAAAAAATATACATAGTACCAGCAAGACAGTCATTCATATAAACCAAACAAACAATCATTGCAAATTCTACAATAATAACGAATAGGCAAACATTATTAAAAAAAAGGTAAAGGTCTAGATTATTCCCCGAAGGGGGTGGAGGCAGGAGGGATTGAAAGAGGAGGTCACCCCAACCACTGTACCATAATAACTTTGCGGCGGTTTCACCCCCATGAAAAGTTATAACATTTTATGGTGGTTTACTCAAAAAGACCCCTTTTCCAATCCCCCCTGCCGCCAACACCTTCGGGGTGGGGGATAATCTAGATCTTTACCAAAAAAAATAAGCCACAACTGAAAAGTTTCATATAATTTTGTAATATACTCGAGGTGTTTGTTATTAAACTGCCTAAAGTTATTTACATTAACTAATTCAAAAAAAATATTGTGTCTTAATATTTACTTAGTACAACACCAGGGCCCACTTTCAACGTTCACCCATAATGGCGTCTTACCTAAGGATGCCCCCCGTACTTTATTATAAAGTATTGTACTCTATTTCGACTGTGCGTACGTTATATTTTACAAGACATACAAAGTACGCAAAAATACTTTATTTAAGGCCTTAAGTAAACATCGTAATTTTGTAAGCGATTATTCGAAATTCAGAGTATTTTTACATCAATAATATTGCACAGAAAAATGGCAAGGCATATTTACGGAACAACCTAATTTCCCAAATCTGTTCAAAGTAGTGTCACTTTTGCTGTCCATTCCAGCATTTACAGAAAGAGTATTCTCTGTTATGAACACAAAGTGGCGGGACGACAGGAATAAAGCTTCATTAAAACTAATTAAAAATGGGCTTTTAGTTTACTTAAATCTTTGTTTGCTATGTTTAGAGGCTATTAAAATATGTAAGAGCGACAGCAATTTGTTACTGGCTGCTAGGTATAACAAAAAATATGTTTTTAAAAACAAAAAATAAAATACTTTATTTTTATGCTGAGTACTTTTGTTTTTGAACCATGTAGTCGAGAAATACTTTATGTAATGCCTGAAGGCAACCCTAGTCTTACCCCTTACTTCCTAGGATTATTTAGTATAATGGCGACTAATTAATAATTCAGTTATCTACATTGTACTATGTATATAAAATGAACAATAGAGCCCGTTTAGGCGAACGTGTATAATTTCGAAAAATAACAGTATCATTTATCTTGACAGCAGTACGTACGGACGGCAACGGTCAGGTGAATAATAGAAACAAAAATTCAAAACAATTATATGCATCGGCTGCTATGATGATGAATAATGAAAACGAATCTCTGGTGGAAGAATGGTTTCATTATTATTCCACTTGCATGCGTGTCTAAAACTGCATGTGTGTAATGTAACAAATTCAAAGAAAGATCGCGAATATAATGTCATTTAATAAACATCGGGTTTCATGTGCACTTAAATGTCTGAAATTACTAAACTGAATGGATATTGTGGCATACCTACAGGTATATATCTATATAGCAACGTTCATACAGATCTAGATACCCACACAGATGTATAAAATAATTAAAAAAAAAGATAACAATATGTATGTATGTAAGTACTATCAGCAACAGACCATACATAATACAGATAATAAGACAGCTTCGATTTCGTTGTCTGATAAAGGCTATAAGCTTAATTCGATTTATATCAACGTTAAAAGTACATTAATTGTAATAATTTTGGCAATTGTTTCTTAAAAAATATTTTCGCAATAAATTACTGTTATACATTCACGACAATATTTGCAAATATGGTGTTCTGGGATGATACCATGCCCAACGTACCTACTACAGAATTGAACGGTAAAAGCAATCAGTTCAAGCAGTAGGTAATTTACCGATTACCCACAAAAACGATTAGCTTTGGCTTTTACGTTACAGTCATCAGCAATGTTCAATTTATCTAGTGGCACGCGTCTTTTAGATAAACTGGTCAACGTAAACCGAGTTAAGTGGCGCGTCAGTCTATAGTGGTCTAGTCCCTGGACTATCAGATCGGTTGTGTCGCATTTTTTAGCGCTTGAAAAGGACCAGAAGTCATTGTCGTAATTCTTTGGATACATACAGGGGCGGCCTTAGCCATTGGAAGGTTCGGGGCGGGTAAATTTTTGCGAGGCGCTCGTCTTTGTGGAATTAATTTTAATGATGATACTTGAAAAATGCAGTGATTCATAAATAAGTTTACAATTTTAAAATTGTTTATCGAAAATTAAAAGAAATTGATAGCAAATTTGCGGCTTCTTTTAAGACTATTAAGAAATTCAAATAAACATTAGTAGTATGTACTATTACTGCCTAATATTTTTCTAATTAGATTGTTGCGCGAGGGTGCGAGGCCCCTACAAGAGCGAGGCCCCGGGCGGTTGCCCTGATCGCCACCCCCAAAGGCCGCCCCTGGATACATACATATATTTGAGCCCAGTACAAATACATATAAATAGTTTACCATAATATATACCAACATCTAAATTAATAAGAATTAGGATAAATTACTGGACAGTAATGATCTTATTACGACTCGATAAATTATTTTGTGTTGTTTTTAATGTATTTTCAAACAGGATTCGGTTTTACAGTAGGTCGGATAATGTACAAATGTCCAATGTTTCCGGTATTCGAACTAGCCGTAAGTAGTGTGTGGTAGCCCGGAATGTGACGTAATAACGTGTTCAGACCCAGTCAATCCATTACGACTTGTAGACCCATTATTTACCACCCTTACAACCTGAAATCCATTATTGTCCAACAACAAGAAATCGTTCGTGAGGAACAAATAAAGGAAATTCCTCATAGAAAACTCATCATCGTCGTTGTTGTTGTTGGTACATCGAGCACACGTCTAGAACAACTTCCCTTTACATAAAGCCTGTCGGTTGAATAACAACTTGCACACAAAAACGCCGTTTTAACCATTACACGTGCTTGTATACATGTAGGAGCCTAGGTAAAATACGTCACTAATTTAAAGTTTAAGAACTTTTATACAGTAGTATGTTCTACAATCCGTTCTTTTGCAGCTTTCACACTTTGGCTTACATACAAATAACATCTAACACAAAAATGATTAAAGTATTTAAACAATAAGCATTTTGGCCAAATGAATAAAAAAAAGACAGTATACATGCATAGCCTAGTAAGCCTAGGTAAAATACGTCAATAATTTAAAGTTTAAGAAGTTTTATACTGCAGTGTGTTCTAAAATCCGTTCTTTTGCAGCTTTCACACTTTGGCTCACATATAAATAAAATTTAGCACAAAAATGATGACTAAAAAAAGACAGTATACATGTATAGTCTAGGAGCCTACGTAAAATACGTCAATAATTTAAAGTTTAAGAACTTTTATACAGTAGTGTGTTCTACAATCCGTTCTTTTGCAGCTTTCACATTTTGGCTCACATATAAATAAAATTTAGCACAAAAATGATTAAAGATAAGTATTTGAACAATAAGCACTTTGGCCAAACGAATAAAAAAAGACACAAATACAAGTAGTTTTAATAAATTTCGATACATGTGTTTCGAATTACGGAAGACCGACAAACTTTGTGTAGTGGTGTCATAATTTGTAAGTTACAAGCACCTTTTTAAAAGAGTGTCAGTGCCACACAGAAACGTAAAAGCTCTTGGGACATGTTTGAAAGGGATACCACTTAGACGCCCCTTGTCTGTTTTTCGTCGATAGCCAGCAAAACTGCATCACATTCGACGAAATTTATTATGTAGGTCGAAACGGAGGCCCAATGTTTCTAATATATAATTCGTCAGAACAAATTTCTGCATTAGAAAATTATTATTTTTTTGTCGGGTCCCGTAACTTGAAACCGCTTTTGTAAAATGTACGTATAACATCTCCAGTCAGATACACATCGAAAAAAAAAAATATTTATTAGAAACATCATTGGGAAGCGTATAAATTTTGATAACAACCGGGTTTAAAAACAAGCCAGTTCCATTATACATTTTGCGGGTGGTTGATGTTCAAAAGCAAATTTACGCATATATCTGTCTATGAGGTCGTTGGTTAGATGCTACCAATTTTTAGGCCAACAACTTTTGTGCCAAATGAACCCCGAATTAACAATAAAAGGTTTTAAAAATAAAAAAGTAATTATAACTTTCATTTTCCTGGCGGATGAAATTCTACTAAGAATATAAAAATTTCCCTGTCTACAGAAATCTAAATAAAAAATAATAGTTATTGATGATATCTATAGTTTATTAATCTTTGAATAACGAATTAATTATTGTAAAATTTCGATCTGATTTTTTTCGGAAATAGCACACGTTTAGATATATTGTTTTCGACGTTAAAAACTTGTGAACAAAATTATCAAAATATGCGTTCGACATGAGAAAAACGGAAAAGTCATTAAGAAAGATCGTTAAACGTGTAAGGTAATGGCACTAGTGGACTACCTTGTCTGTCCAATGAACTTTCAAACAAAACGTTAAAACGCATTATACCTACCTACGAATGCACCATCAGGTTCAACGTTATTACAAAAATAAGTGCGATAAAATCTCACAACTGCTTTTGAAATTTTTACGACCAAACAGATCAGTGGTCTAGAAAAATCAATTATCATATTTCTTTCTCTTCTTAGACACACTAATTACAACATTTTCTGAAAAGTATTACACAAAATTAATGGTGACTGTCACAACTTATTACTTTTGTCTAGCTATAAACAATAAAGAATATTAAAAAACTATTTCTCTTGATACGTAAAAATGAAAAAGCGCATGTAATCAACGCCGTACCTTTATAATATAAAAACCTAAAGGCGACTTTGGAGAGAGATCGATTAGGAACGATGCGATCGCAAAAAAAAAAAATGAAAACAAAGACTTACTTGCAGTTAACGATGCAGATGCAGAAAGCGCAACATTATGGGCCACTTGTCGACCCCTTTGAATGGTTGGAGTGTTCATAATTCCATAGGGAAGGCTGTTTGTTGTTTCCGCATATTGCCAATCTGCATAATTGGTAGCGGTGTCCCTACTCGGGAAAGAATAGGGTTGAAATCGGCCTGCATGAGTTGGTGTATGGTACGCGGTTGGTAATCTGTTAAATGCAGGAAGAGGGTTTGATCCTCCGTTACCCGAGGATGAAGATACTTTTGGATAATCTTCAGTCAATTGTAACGTTGGCGTGGACTGACCTGGAAGAAAACAATAGTGGAATATGAAGGATTTTATAATAAAAAGGTAATCTGATACAAGCGTGGCAAGTGACGAGAACCCATAAGAAAAAGGGAATAGAAAGGATTCAGAAAAGATCCTTGGAAAAGAGAGCACCTAGGAGAAAAAGAAAAAAAGTTATATGTCAAAAGATGAGAAAAGAGAAAGAAAAGGGAGTTACCTATTCCGAAAGAAAGGAGCACCTAAAGAAAATTAGAAAAATTCACCAGAAAAACGGGGAATTTCCAAAAAATAAAAAGTAGTACACCGATAGAAAAGACAAAGAGAAAGGAGATATATTCTGGAAACAAGGGGTACATAAAGAAAATGAGGAAGATCCACGAGAAAAACGGGAAATCTCTAAAAAAAAAAAAGGAGTAGGTACACCTATTGAAAACAGAAAAAAAAGAGATATATATGTATTCTGGACGAAAGGACCAGCTGAAGAAAATGAGGATGATCCGTGAGAGAGAAATCCATTTGCTAATCAATAAAGAAAATATTAGCGAGATGATAAATCAAAAAACATTTTTAATGGTTTCTTGGATGTCTGGTATGCTACATTGTTTTGGTAATAGTTTTATCAGACCAGCGACTAATACAAACAATCAATTAGTAATTAGAAGAGGTGCAATGAAGTATTGTTATATTTAGCACCTTGATAATTAATAGAAACGAATAAAACAATATTGTTAGCCAAATTGTAACGTACAACGTAGAAAAAAAAATGATAAGGTCAGGAAAAATAAACCGTAATGTCTAAAAAAAAAAAAGATAAGAAAAGAACAAATTTCACGATATGACCTCAGAGTCATAAAAAAAATGCATTTTAATCAATAAACAGCATACAGCTACGGTCAACTACAGAGCATCATTATCAGTCTCCATGCAAAATGCGCAAATAAAAAGAAATTAAAAAAGATATGACTCGTGCATTCGTATTTTTGTTAACTTAGGTCAGTTTAGTGCAAAATTATTCACATTTAATTTATTTGTTTTCTACTCGTAAACAAGATCAGAGACTTCACTTTCTTTTACGAACTTCTGCTTCAGTTTATAATTTAAGGAACATTTTCAATTGATAATTAACAGTGTCCTAATAAATTAGATTTCAAGCAAATGGGTGGATATACTGAATACATAACTATCAATACAATTCGTTAGACTAAATATTGTCACCCTAGACTTTTGCTTTTTAATTAATTGTACCTAAGAACAAATAATATCCGAGACCACATCAGCAATAGCCAAAAACATGAACACCAGGCACGAAAGCCTTATCAGATAATAAATATGTAAATAAAGTATGATTTGAAATCAATAAAACTATTATAATTTATAATATATACACTTTGCCATGTTTAAAACCAAAAATAGAAAAAAGTGGGTACATTCTTTTTTATCTGTTGATATTTAAGGAAAACTTATAAAAGATGTACTTTTTAGCCGTTGTTTAGACGTCGTCGTCATTACTTTTACCAAATAAAGATAGGCACCTATAAACATGTGCTACACAATTTCCAATCGTTCGAATTTGATAAAACTATTTTCAAAAAAAGATTATCACAGTGGCTATTATCGAATTATTACCATACGTGGATTAACACGTTACTAAACGATGTTTATTTTTAGATTTCTAAACAATACTATTATTTTTGAAAATATTTTTCTGATAGCGCCTTTACCTATATGGAATTTGTAACTATCGCTCAAAAAATGTCGAACATTTTGGTTTAGATTTAACTCCAAAAACAATTTTTGACACACACCTAGTAGCTTGTTATTAAAGGTATAATGCTTTTACCTATACACATAGAGCCTAATTCCCTTTCCTTCAAATTGTTCTTCCACTGAAAAATGGTTTATAAACAATCGAATTTCTTTTTGTTGTCTTTCGCTGATGTCCGTAAAACAATATGAGTAAAATTATTAATTTTGTATTATGAATCACCTCAATAATGAACTTTGTCCATTTTATTATTATTTATTAATCATTCGAAAATCTTTTGATTGAATTTAAGCACAAAGGGTACTGAATATCAATTATTTTTTGAAACACCACCATACACGTACGTCCAGTTGATTTATATTAAATATTTTCACAAAAAAAAATTGGGCGCACCCTTTTTCTATGTAAATTTATGAAGCAGTTGAAAAATTGTTGCAAAATTTTAGGTGAGAGAAGAAAAAATCTTTTAGGATCATAAAATCTGCAAAATAAAATTAAAAACTTACCAGAATTGGACCAACATTGTGTGTTCGTTGGTGAAACTAGATCGGGAGATGCTGTATTGTTATAGTAAGGCATCGTCGAATAGGTTGCAACTTGACGCGAATACAGAGGGCTGTTGACAAAAGAAACACCATTAGAACAAAATGTAAGACCCATAAGAAATTAAATAAATAAAATACTTTTGTTGTTGTTGTTGTTGTGGCTGTTGCTGCTCGCGATCGGCAGACGGCGGCCTTTTTATCATTTTTTCTAAAACAAAATCGTAAGTGGTGAGCAAATGGTGCAACACCGAATAATCCATTTTCGCGCCGATATAATTTTATTATCGCACAAACTTTCGCGTTAATTCATCAACGATAATTGATCATAAACCTCCAGCAATGCTGAACGATGAATAACAAATACTTCTATCTATCTAATCGAGTTAAACAACTCTTTCGTTCCACCACCATGCGATTATCACATCTCTGTATCAACAACAGACACACATACACACACCATCGTCTAAACTGAACGGACGAATGCTAGTGATAAAGATGGTTTGACCTTTCCGAGAACAAAAAATTCACAAGAAAAAGTGACCGAAGTATAAAAAACGAAAGATGGTATGAAAAAATTTGGCCGGTCTAGGTCAAAGAAAAAACAAAAAAAGATTAGAAAAAAATACTTTTGTAATATTAACCTTCAATTTGAAGCAAAATAAGCGCATACGGCTGCTCGAATACCAAGATATGTGACAACTGACAATCGAAGTTAAAGTTAATAATTGTTTCAAGTCCGAACCGCGATCCGATAAGGACGAAGCGATGCGATCCTTCTTTCGCCTCTCTCTCTTTTTTTTTCCGCTGTTAATTACTATTGTAATATGTACATATGCATGTGTGTTCCAGAGGTAGTAGTTGTAGTTGTAGTTGTAGGTACGTTTCTGATTTTCGGTCACGTGACGCGAGAAAACAAAATTGCATTTTATTAATTACGGTTATCTGTAGAAATAATTGGATGGCTAAATAAAAAAAAAAAGAAAAGTCGACATGTATGCAGTTGTTATTTTTTGTGCATTTTATTTATTAATTTATTATTGATAACCAGATTTTTTAATAGACATTATTAAGTAAATATTTTTATAAGACACGACGATTTTATCGAGATACGTGTGGAATTTTTCAATAAAAAAATATATGCATTTACTTGCATTACATATTTCATAACATAAAGATATTCTTGTCCTTACTCGTACCTAGCATCTATCCTCCTTAATTGCAGAGATTTAGGTATTAGAAGTTGCAAAAGTAGAAGTAGAAACAAGGAGTTAAATCGAGTTTTGGGTACATACATCTGTATATGGAAAACATAGGCATATTTTATTCTGTAGCTGTCTCTTGCATCATGAACAAAACGTGTTTAATAATTATTGTCCAAATTTCAACATTTTATATGTGTGATAACATATGAAATGTAAATTCTTGCACGATATGACAAAATTTCGCATTTAATCATATCTAAAATACATTGAAATTGTGATGGTTAATATTAAATATTAATTTCAAAATTCATTTTCAATTTTTATTCACTCTCCAAGAGGGTATGACAAGAGCAACAAATATTTTTGAGATAACTGATAGTGGACAAAAATAGAGAAGGAATTTTCAAATTAATATTTAATCATATCAAAAGTATCAGCCCAGTTATTTCTAGTGCTGTTCAAATGAACAACCACTTTGATCTCAAGTTCTTTCGATTCGAAGGATTTCATTATGGAAGAAACCAGGACCCTATTTCTTTCATCATCATCATAAGGTCGTCAGTCCTCTTGTTGTATACGCACCTCCACTCATTCCTACCCTGAGCTAATTTTCGCATTTCCTTAAAACTAGAACAACCCACATCTTCAACTATTTCTGAACAGTAATCCAATCTAGGTCTACCCGTAGTCCTATTAGCTCCTATCTCTGCTTCTATGTCTATAACCCTTCATGCCTCATCTATCATATTGACTACCATAGTGACTTCTGTTCTCTTACTCTTTCTAATACCTCGTCATTTCTAACTTTCTCCATCCACGGTATCTTCATGATTTATCCTGTAATAACACCATATTTCCAACGATTCTAACCCTTTCTTTTCAGCCGTGTCCACCATCCATTCTTTGCACTCGTGCTCCAGACATACACCTTCAACAATCTTTTTCGAATTTCTAAATTAACCGTTCCTGAGCATTGAAGTGATTTCTTTTTGTTGATGACGAATCGATCCTGCGTTATCCTTTGTCTTATATCTCTACTGCTCCTTTCATCCTAAGTTATTCAATATACTAGATACCGAAAATCAGCCACTTCTTCTAATTTTTCGTTTCGTATTTTTATATTCGATCTTTCCCTATTTTTTCTTCCCTTGCATACTGGTATTATAGTTTTACTTTTATTTATTTTCATACAGTACTGTTTTGTCAATGTTCGCGTCTTCGATGTATAGATTATTATTATTATTTTATTTCCTACTTCTTTACATTTTTTATTTTCTGTCTTAGTACAGTAGTATCCCTTTTTCTTAATTTTTGTGTTACTCATTTGTTTTTCCGTATTTCATAGTGTGGTACAGACAATTTTACAAAAGATGTAGGCAAATATAAATTATAAAGAATTGTGATTACTTTCTAGAAGAAAATACGATACTGTCTCGAAATGGTGAAAACGAAGTAAAAGTCATTATTTTTCATCGTTTCCCAATTTTTCCAGATTTTTCATGGTCAGGTAAAGCTAAATGTTCGACGAACGTAGAAATTACACATTTATTTGCCGGCATTTTCCTTTTTTCATAATTTGGTCATTCTTTGGACTATATTTTTTCAACCGCCACGTCTATCTAAAAATATCACCGCATTTTTCAAAGGACGATATCGTCCTAAAATGATCGCATCATAGAACAGAATATCCTTATGGTCAATTCTGAATTCGCCGCTAGTGTACCTATATAATAATTGTTTTTTTTTACGTCCTTGACAACTACATATATATATATATCTATAACACTCAACATTGACAACAATATACAACATGTACATACGGTAGAGAAACAACAAGTGAAATGTATTGTAAATTGTAGTAAAATCAGTAAGCGTTTTAAAAGGTTTTCCTCTATGTACTTTATATGTGCCTGTACATATAATATGCGGACACGATGTCGACTTAACACAAATTGCAGCTTTGAACGCACGTCGCATTTACCCACGGACATGATGTCTTTATAAACATGCACGTGTTCTTAGCAGGTTGGAGGAAATTACTTGAAAATGCACCCATTGTAAAGAAACGAATGCCACGTTCCACTTAGGTTTAGAAAAACACCCGGCAACAGGAAAAGTTTCGCATAATGATACGCACACTTCCTCATGACGTGTTTTTCGCCGATTGATTTCTCTACCACTTTACCACTTGTTAGTTATTGTCTCATCATGGTCGAGAAAACGTTTTTAAAAGGTGAATATTTAATCCCAGTTGGACGTAAAGGAAAATTTCATTAGCTTATCGGGCAGAATTGTTTCGGTCTTAAAGCTTTGTAAAGGATCTTGCAATTAACTGTATCCTTTAATCCCAATCTTTAAGTACATAAAGATATATCGGAAATTATTTATACAATATGACTGCTGTGATGCTATCTATATATTGGACAAAGTGGCAGAGTCATTTAAACTCGATTTAAAGAACACAAAAAGACAGTTGTAGAAGTATTTCAAAGATCTAGATATTATAAACAGCAATCTACGCGATCGACGCGAAAGAAAAGGGGTGTTTGAAATGTATGGTGTTATAGGAAGATGTCAAAAGTCCTATAGGTAGAAAAGGTAGACCTACGTTAGGTTATTATCCGCAAATATTTGACATGTACGCTGCTCTAGCTTTCGAGAAACATGCTAAGATTGGCTAAGTCCATCATCATCCTAAAGTCTTCAGTCCAAAGATGGATGATGTAAAATTGTTAGTCACTGTCCTGAAGACTTCCTGTCTTATGCCTTTGCCGTCATCATAACCAAATCTGACATATGCATAACATCTAACAAATTCATTGAATTTTTAAAACTGAATACTACCATGATTAAGTTTTTTAGAAACGAAAATTAACCGAAGAAGAAATTAACGCGTTTTTTAAAACGCACTAATAATAAAAAAGCAATTTGGTTTGAAGGTTGTACAAGAGTAACATATTTTTGTAACCAGCCCATGCACTTGAAAGTGTTATTAGCTTTTACAACGTCTATTGCAGTATGATTTTCTTATTTTACGTAATACAATACGCGTTTAGTTGTATGTAAGTTTTCTTGTATACAAAATTTGTAGTACATATATATGTACAGCAATGAAAATCTTAATAAGTCAAACTCCTTTTTTAACTTTTTTATGGGACGCTGACGTTCTACAACGATGACTTATTTTTAAAAAGGTTATTATAAAAAAACACTTAATAAACTGCCGAAGGCGTTACATTTTCTTGAAAAAAAATGTTTATGGATAACCATTAACTACACATATTTACGAACAAACTCAATTATTTAAACAAATTGTTCTTTGTTGCCTTTACCGATCAACTAATTTGTTAAAAAACTCGTCGTCGTTTGACATTTCTATTACAATGCACTACCAATCCACTCAGAAAAGTCCCTGAGACCAACAAGTGCACCCCTATTCTACTCGGGAATAGGGTGATGTTTCTTACATGACAGACGTTCTAACGTATATTTTTCGTTTTATACATCCATAATTTTTGTTTTATTTTTAAATTAAACTAATAATAATGATTCCTTGTTATATCTTACCTGAAAAACGAATGACCAAATCAAAAATGTCACGTATTCTGATATCATTTTCGAATGTAATCATTATGTGATGACCTGCGAACGCGTTCCCAAAACAGTTCTCAACAGTCTTTTAATGAAATCCATATTTTCGTTACTTAATTATTTTTAAAAGATAAATATTCCTGTACAATATAGATTTTGAAAAAAAACAATTAAATATTTTTGCATTTCGACATAGAAAAAAAAAATAGAACGAACGGTAAACACCAAAACTTCACGGTTCTTAGTCGAAATACTTTGCGGAATTGAAACGTAGAAAG